CCGAAAACCAGTCAGTACTGGTGTGAGGTTAGGTTAGGGTTCGGTAAATGTTGTGATCGAGGTGGCCGTGTTCGTCGTCCATAACATACGCCTGCCATACATAACCCCCCCACCACCAGAGGGCCACTCGATTCACAACATTACCCTAACCCTAACCCTAACCCTAATCCTAACCCTCAGGGTTAGGGTAATGTTGTGAATCGAGTGGCCCATGGTGGTGGTGGGGTTATGGTATGGGCAGGCGTATGTTATGGACGACGAACACAGGCCACTCGATTCACAACATTACCCGAACCCTAACCCTAACCCTAACCCTCACACCAGATACTGACTGGTTTTCGGACCCCCCCAGACCCCCCCAATAAAGCAAAAATGCACGTTTCAGAGTGCTCTTTTATTGTGGCCAGCCTAAGGCACACCTGTGCAATAATCATGCTGTCTAATCATCAGCATCTTGATATGCCACACCTGTGAGGTGGGCTGGATTACCTCGGCAAAGGAGAAGTGCTCACTATCACAGATTTTTCAGATTTGTGAACAATATTTGAGATAAATGGTTATTTTGTGTATATAGAACATGTTTTAGATCTTTGAGTTCATCTCATGAAAAATGGGAGAAAAAACAAAAGTGTTGCGTTTATATTTTTGTTCAGTGTACTTTAACGTGCATTACAGCTCCATTGATGTCTAAATACCACACCATTGCACCATCATCAATACTTATTTATTTATTTTGAGTTAGAGAGGTCCTTTTATGCTTTTTGGGGTTTTCCCAAAAGTAGATTTTCTTGACAGATCTGCAGAGTTACACCTGCGTCTTGTTTTATATCCAATCATAATTATGTCTCTGATGTGGAACGCTTGATTTTAGATGTGAAGTGATCCATGATTACTGTTTGAGATTAAAGAACCAAAGTGGACATCAACATGAGAAAGCAGCAACAGAGGCAGATGCAGTGAAGAAAACCCCGCTCATGTCTCCCATTCTCGAGCAGAACCCACTCTCTTGGCAGACACGAAGCGACAGTTTCCTCAGACTTTTGGAATGTTTCCAAAGCATGTTGCCATCTGCAAAATCAATTTTCATCAAAACGCCATGTGATGTTTTGTTGGAAAAGAACAGAAAAACTGTCCCTCTGTATAATTTGTCTTTAGATTGCTGGCAAATAGATTTCCTTTCTTCAGCAGAACTCTTCAGCAATGTTTTCTAGCAAGATTCTAATATTTTTAGGTTACTCCGGGGCATAATGGGAACATTTTTCAGATGGTGCAAGTTAAGACTTACTGTAAGTTTTAGATTATGAATGCAACTCTATAAGTTTGTAAAGCAAAAAACACAATTGGATGGATGTAAATTGACAGGGCTTGTAAATGAAGTTCCTTTTAATAAAAACATTTTTACAATGTACTTTTTAAGTTATCAGCTGGAAAAGTAAATGAAATGTCATAAAAGTTACTGTATAGATTTTAATATATTTAAAATTGTATATATAAAACAAATAAATATGCATTTAAATTAGGGCTGTTACGTGTTAACGTAATTTTTTTAACGTCACTAATTATTTTAACGCGATTAACGCATGTGTATTTTTTGTCCTCGGCCGCCCCTTAGTTTCAGAGCGCATCGAGTTTAAAATACCATCTACAAGCTGATGCTGACAGCCCCGCTCCTGCCGCCCGCTTGCGGCAGACCACACTTCTACGCTCACCGGAGACTATTGGACTTCACTCAGTCAGTAATGACAGTTACCTCGGGGTCACAGCGCATTATTTTGACCCACAGTGTGAACTTCAGTCTCATGCTTTGACAGTTATGAAAACAGAGGAGCGGCATTTCGCCGACAACTGCGCAGAGCACTTTATGCAGGTAGCCAGGCAGCGGGACATTGTACAAAAAGTCAGGACACTCAGCACGGATAGTGCGCGCAACATGATTGCAGCGTCCAGGCAGCTCCCGTTCGAGCATGCCTTGAGCTGCACATAGCTCCAACGATCCATCACAGTGTCTCTCCACACACGCACGCACGCACGCACGCACGCACGCACGCACGCACGCACGCACGCACGCACGCACGCACGCACACACACACACACACACACACACACACACACACACACACACACACACACACACACACACACACGTAACAGCACGACAAAACAGCACAACTCACTTTGCTAAACTGCTAAGTGTGTTTTACACTGATCACCTGAAGCACCATGGGAACACTACACAAGTGCGTACACACGTGTGCTCTGATATCCTCTGTACAGCTATACACAGTATAAAGGTCTTTATTATAACCCACTGTGCTTTTGTGAAGGCTGCAGAAACCATTTCCCTCTGACAGCTGACACAGAGCTGAACATTTTTAAAAGCCCATTTAATGCATTTAATAGATAGTTAATTTACTCATGTTTACAAGGCAAATTATTATTATTATTATTATTTTAATCGTTTATTTGGCAGGGACAATGCACAGTAATGAACACTTAAAACATTCAAATGTGTCAAGCGTAACAGTGCCAGATTTAGCTTTGAGCTAATTTCCATCCGCAGTCCCTCACATAAAACTTTTAAGAAAATTACATTTTACAAACATAGCAAAAAGAAAATATGTGATATGCAAAAAGAGCAGCATACACAAGTATTTACCACATGGCAGTACAATATAGCAGCTACGACATATAAAGTGCAAGAGAAAATAAAAGTGCTACATAAAGTGCAAATTAAATTAAATGCCAGGTGGTATTCAAATGGATTTTATAGCCTTAAAATCGTCACTGTTAGTTATGTTATAGACCTATATACAAACGTGATTTGTGTAATGTACAGAGGCCAACAGGTGCAAACGTGCAAATGAAGGAACATCTTAACGGACTTGACGACACATGAACAGCATTTAGAAAACATACACCAGCTTTTATTTATGCACAGTTTTTCCTAATGGCAGTGTTTTTGGCACCTGTTGGCCACCGTAGAGGCAAAATTAAATGCATTGTAAACATGCTGCTGTAACTAAACAACTTGGGATCAATAAAGTAAATCTAATCTAATCCATAACAGGTGATATACTGTAGGAACATA